CTGCCAGCTCCTTCGCAACCTTAAAATCTTTGGCTGGGCGCGCGCTTGGAGGGGAACCCCGAGTTGGAAGCAAGCTTGGTGTTGCTGTGAGCGGCGAGTAGGGCCAATGCCGGTTGGTCGGCGGCTGCGTTGGACCCCGCGGCCAGGGCAACCGACGCGCCGGTGGTAGCGACCGAGAAGATTGTCTTGCTTGTGCCAGGGGGGTCGTGTACGATCGTCACGTGGTGGTGGGTGGAGGCTGCTAGGGCCCTTGAGGCGTCGTGGTTGAGACTGTGGCGCTTGGCGCCGCCCTCCAGGGATTTCTGTGCCGGGAGGTCGCGAGCGCGCTAAAACGCCTGACCGGTGGCGTCTTCCACCTCTGGGTCGGTGACAGGGGGGGCGGCTTGGGGCCCGGTGGGGTGAGTGGGCATCGCAGAGACAGCGCCGGGCGCAGGTAGATCGGCGCAGGGGAGGCGGGCCTCCAGGGTGGCTGCGGCACGCGCCTTAAGAGCCTGCCTGCACCTAGCGGTGTTGGCAGCGTCATTGGCGATGGACTTGCCCCCTCTGTCAGCTGCGCGGAAGGTGAGAAGGTAATTAGGTGATGACGTCCAGAGGGGTGCCGAAAAGATCGAGGGGGACCTGCTGCAGCTTGTAGATCTCGGTGATTGCTGCCGAGATCCTCCAAAACTGGGTCTCGGAGGGCGCCCGGTCCAACCTGAAGAATGGTTCGCCTTCGTAATTGGGTCGGTCGATGTTGCCATCTGCGTGGAAATCCCCGAACTTACCGGCATTGCACACGACGATGCATTCGTTGCTGGGGTATCTGGAGCCCGGTGCGAGTCCCAGCGCCTGGCACTCACCTGGCGGGATTGTGCCTCCAAGGTCGGGAGGCCACTGTAACTTGACAGTGGCGACTTGGTCCACCGCTGGGCTGGTGAGGCTGAGGAGGAGGACGTGCGCGTCCTGTCCCGCGTCCTGGCCTTTGAGGAGGATCTTGAAACCTGATGGCCATTGTAGGTGCAGTAGCTCTTTCCCGTCACGTGGTGGAAAGGCGTTCCTCAGCTGGTATCGGTCAAGGATAGCGCATTCTGAGATCTGGTCCATGGGGGTGACGGATATTCCCAAGGCGCAGCTGGTGGGGATACTTTTTGGTTGGCGACTCCAAGACAGAGGTCATGAAGCGGGATTAACGACTGGGGTTCAGACAGCAGATAATTGGCCAAAGCGGCGCGAAAGCCGCAGAGGCGAGTGCACGTGCAAGGGACAAAAGGACCCTCATTAGAGGTGATGCAAGAGACAAAATGACCCGAATTGAGCACCGGAGACCGTCACCGACAACTCGGCGGGGGGAGGCGCCACGCCGCTTCGTGCAGCGGCAACTGCGGCCAGCGTGGAGAAGTCGCACCCGCGTGTGGGAAACACGACGCAGCGAGCGGCAGCAACGGCTGTACGGCCATGTGTATTGTAGCAGCGCGGGGAAGTCGCCCTGTCGGCGCCAAAATCCGGCTGAACGACACACAGAAACGAGTCGGAGAGGGGGGCAAGCGAACCGCAGCGGACGCCAGACGGGGGCCCAAACGACAGGAAGAGAAGGAAAAGCGGCACAGTTGGTGGGGATACGCGAAGCGTCTAGAATTGGTTCCCTGACCTAGACATGGAGAGCGGCCCGAAAACCATATCCCCTCCAGCACTGGGACAAATTTCAATTGCTTAAAATACATTGCGATGTGCGTATTGCCGACCCCGCTGGAAAACTCATTTTCCAACCGCGCACATGAAGTACTTAGGGGCTACACTGTACGGCACAGGGAACATAAAGGAGTTGGGAGGCAGGTTGGGTGCTGCACGGGGGGGAGTTTCAAAGGCATGCGAAGGCATGGAAGCATACGTCAATCAGTGTGAATGGAAAGTTGGAAGTGTTTGGGGCTCTTAGCACAACCAAAGTAATGCATTCTTTCAGTAGCGCATGGCTCAACAGAGCTGATAGACGCAGGCTCGATGGGTTCCAAGCCACGAGCTTGCGTGCCATATGGGCATCAAGCCACCTTATACTTCAAGGGTGCCGAATATCCATTAACAGGCCTGGCCAGGGCTTGGAGCACGGCAGTCAAAACGTATTGCGGTACTTTATGAATATTGCATAAGCTCTTTGTTGGAAAAGAGGCATCGTTATGTCCCCGATCGGTGCAACAGCACCCTCGCCCTGCGATAGGACAAAGCATCCTACATATGTTCGCCGAGACACTGCGCTGGTCCATTATGTTGTGCAATCTCGCCTTGCATGCCTCAGCACATATGTCTCGCTCGTTTGTGCCACTTGTTGCCGATGCGCCGTCTCTCGGCGCGGCATCCTGCGTGCGTGCGTGCAACAAAACCACACTGGAAATATCGACACACATACCTTACACATCGCAGCTATTGAAGAGTACATTGGTGTGGTTTGGAAAGGTTTGTCGCAGCAGCGACGCGGATGCACTTAGGAAACTTACTTTTAGGCCTGACAATTCGCGTCCAGCAATAAGCACTGTGAACCGATCTCGTGGGATACTGAGAAATGAATGCACAAACTGCGTTTGTACGACAAAGTATCATATTGCTTCCCATCAGAACAGCGCCTGCTCGAAGCCACCATGGAGGAGAAAATTAGGAGAGAGTTTGCATCAAAATACAAGGACACGTGCCCGTGAGCCCTGGCCGGCCGCCTTTTCACGCCATTCAATGTTCTATGTTTCTTCCTTCCTCCTCCTCCTATTCCTCCTCCTCCTCCTCCTCCTTCCTCCTCCTGGCAGCGCAGGCTGTGCTGAGCTTGTTTTTTCCCGCCCACGCGCCTGACGGCGTATGGCTTCAGTGAGTGAGCCCAAACTTGTCCTGATTCCAGCGTCCTGGCTGCAACCATACTCCTATTCTCCCCGTCCCTCTCCCAATTCCCTCCCCATCTCCCACACCCTCCCCCGTGCCCGTCCCCTCCTCCTCCTGCTCCTCCTGCTCCTGCTCCTGCTCCTGCTCCTCCTCCTCCTGTCTTGCTCCTGCTCCTGTTCCTGCTGCTCCTGCTCCTGCGGCCGCGAATCTGGCTGGCCGGGCGCTCCGCATGCAGGAGAGACGAAGCGTCCAGCGCGCGCCCTGGCGGACCCCGACAAAACCGCCAGGTGGACGCCGGGGTGCGCCGCTTCGCCTTTCAACATGGGCCCGGAAAAACATCAAACGAAACCGCGGAGAGGCCCTCCACGGGCTCTTCGCAAATCCTGTCCTCCTCCCTTCGGGGCTGGCGCGCGGATCTCTCAGGGTGGCATGTTCTCCTCTGGCTCCTGCTCCGCCTCCCCCACCTCCGCTACGCCTGCTCGCCGTCTTCGTCCTCTGGCGCTCTTGTCGACTCATCTGCTCCCCGGCCCCCACCTGTTCGCTTCCTCCTCCACCTCCTACTCCTTCAGTCACATGTGTTCCCGGTGTTGAAGTCTCAGGAATGACGTCACAATTTGGCATGGTCAGGACGCAACAGTCACGTTGATCCGCGGCGTGGGAGTCCTAGGAATGGTGTATTGGCACGAACGGAGATTATCAGACGATTGTCTTTCAATGTGGCCACTTCCCGCAATGAGTACATGCTCAAAGGGACCTATGAAGAGGGAACTTGGGAGGAGGGTTTATTACAGCATCGTTGATGCGTCTTGGGTTTACCATGGTCCTCCTCCTCCTCCTCCTCCTCCTCTTCCTCCTGCCCCTCCTCCCCTCCACTCCCTCCCATCCTGCTCCCCTTCTCGTCCTCCTCCTCCTCTGCTTCCGCCTTCTGCTGCTTTTCTTCCTCCCCCTCCTCTGCAAACTCTGCAATACTCACCCCAGGGATCTAGGGAAACCGTGCGTAGAGCCGATCTCCACGACACGTCTTGGGTACTCCGGATTTCATGATCAAATGAAGAGGGTCATAACTCTCCCAGACGAGCAATGTCAGACCCTCCTCCCAGACCAGCCGTGAAATGGCGGCCTTTTGCCCCCCCCCCCCCCTCAAACCCTCAAAGACAACTCAAATGTGACCCACTCTTTCTGTGATGAATTCCGGAATCTACCGACGTGATTGTTCGCGACCTGTTCCCAAAGGGCTGAGCCTCAAATCTGTAGCTTCAATCTTGTGTGCTTGAAGTCGCTATGCGCTAGCCAATTTCACGCAAATCGTTGTCGGCCTCCTCCTGCCCCCTCCCCTCCTTGCTTTTCCTCCAGCTACTCTCCTCTTCCCTCATCCTCCTACCGTTCCCCCTCCTCCTCCTACTTCTCCTCCTCGTGGTTCTCTTCCTCTCCCTTTTCCTCCTCCCCCTCCTCCGTCCTCCACCTTCTCCTCCACCCCTTTTCCATGAAATGATTCGTGCCCGTCGCGCCCCCAGACGGGTCAGTAGGGCGGGCCGAGCGTTTCACCGGAGACTTCGTCACCAATTATGATTCTGGAGCCTGAAATCTGCAACAGCTGCAAGGATGGAAGGCTCTCGCCTCAGCGCTGCGCACATTTGTCCTAACAGTTTGGAGCATTTTCATGAAATGAAAGCAGGTCCTTTTCAACATGTGTCTCTCGCCTTAGCGCCGCGCACATTCGTAGATGGAGAGCGGGTCATTTACAGCATGCCGCTCTCGCCTCAGCGCCGCGCGCACTCCTCGTAGAAATTGACAGCCATTTCATGGATGCGCAAGGCTGCCGTCCCAGGCACGGTGTTGGCACGATTCCGTATTGTCAGGACGCAGCAATCACATTACTTTGCGGTGTCACAGGAAGGGCATTCTGGCACGATTGGGGGTTGTCAAGACGGAACAACCACTTTTATTCGCAGCGTTGAAGTCCCAGGAATGGTGTATTGGCATGAAAAGGATATTCTCAAACGGTTGTCTTCCGCTGGGGCCACCTTCTGCAATAAAGCTACATGCTTGAAAGGACCTATACAGAAAGAGCTTGGAGGGAGGGACTCTTCCAACATCGTTGATGCGTCTTGGGTTTACAATGATATTCCTCCTCTTCCTCCTCCTCCTCCTCTTCTTGGGGCCTCGTGGAATTTGCCCGGGGACTTCAGCACGAGCAGTGCCAGGTCGAAATGCGGACAAACGGATACCACCTCGGGGAGGTGTGTGGACCATCGCGAATATGAGCGGAGGAAGTAAGGAAGGGAGATTATGATACTGCTGACGATGACGGCGAATCTGATGACGATTATGGTGTCGATGACAACACGAGAGCCTCTGGGCGACCGAAGTTTGACAGCTATGCGCATGGGCAGCGGGCCAGGGGGCAAGCGGCCGAAGGGCGCGACCGTGTCTACGGCCCACACCTCCCCGATAGTGCCGACGCGTTCGGCGCCGCGCCGCGGCGCCCCGGCGGGCGCCGCGCTGCAGGCAGCCAAGCGCCTGCGAAGCGGCAGCGGGCTTGGCGAGCGCCGCCGCGGCGTTGGCGCTGAGGCGACATCCTGCCTCGACGGCGATGCTGCGCACCTGCTCGCCGTAGCGTGTCGCCTCGGTCACGCCCCTAGCTTCAGCGGATGCGCGTCGGCCAGGGAGGTGTTGAACGGCGACCAGACATTGGCGCCCAGCCACCAACGCTCGGCGACGGCATGGAATGCGACAACCAGGTCCATGATAGCTTCCTGCATCGGGCCGTCAGAGTGCACCCGAAGCTCGGAGTTGACGACGGCGCCCGCAGCGCGCATTTCTTCCTTGCGCTCGGCTTCCGCGTGGGTCCGCATCCGCGTGGCGCGCCGCGGCCTGCAGGTGGCCTCCGGCGGAACGAGCGCAGCGCCCGACCGCCTCTGGAAGGCCGCCCTCCAGATCAGAGCCCGCTAGCATCCAGCGCGCGTGCGGGCTAGCAAGCCGGGGCGTGCGATTGCCCCAGTGGGCGCGCGAGGGCAGGTTCCGCTGGCGCTCGTCGTCGCCCGCGATGCTGCGCCGGAGCGTTGTGGCCCGCGGGGCGACGAGGCCGCAGAAGGGGCGATGGGTCTCCCTCCAAGTCGCTCTGGAGGAGCAGGGGGGCCCCTTCGACGCCGCGGGGCGCTGAGTAGGCCGCGGCGCCTACGGCGGCCTCGGGGGCGCCTTCCGCGCCCTTCTCTGGCTCGCCTGGACCGCCTGCCGCTGGGCGAGAGCTAACCCGCAATGGGGTCCGCCAGCGGGGGGTTGCCTTTCGTCGTGGCCGCCGGGTGCGTATAGGTGGGCCATCAATCAGAGGTCCGATGTGCGGCGCGAGACTTTGAAGCCATTCCTTAAATGGCGATGCTGGGGACGCGGGGCCCCTGACCGACCCGTCGACGGCCGCCCAGTCCCCGCGCCCCATGGCGCTGCCAGGGGGGCGAAAGAGCCTGCTCAGCACGCGCTTGCCTCTCCTCGTCTGACTCGCCCCAGCCGACACAGAACAACTGAGCGCTCGTTGCCCTCGAGGGAGCCGCGCCAGTCATTGCATCGGATCGTCTTCTTTTCCTTGTTTCATTCTCTGCAATTCTCGCCTGCCACCTGGGGGGCTCTGGCCCCCGTCATTGTGGCCGCCGATGCAGATGCCGAGCTCGGCGGACCTTGCCGCGGTCCTTCGCGCTGATGTCGCGGTTGTGCACGTTCATAGTGGCGAGGGAGTTGAGCGAGGTGGCGCTGGTGATGGCGACGGTTAAAGCGGCGCCCTCCACGACGGCCTCGCGCTCGAAGATCGGGGCCCGCCGCGGCGTGAGCTGCGCGTGCGAGAACCGTGGGGCGAGCGTGGCGACGCCTCCCGCGCCGCTCTGCGCGTCGCCACTGTGGTTCTTGAGCTCGGAGAACATGCATGGGCGCGGCTGGGTGTCCGCCCGCGCGCGGAGGAGGTCGTCGCCGTGGACTTCTGGAGGCGAGATGACGAACCTGCGCCTCGCGAGCTTGGAGAGGGCGAGCTGCTTCTTCTCGCGGCGCTTCCGCCTGTGGCGCATGAGGGCGCGGGCGTTCCAAATGGCGAACGCGGCTGGCTCGCTTTCTTCTGTCGAGACAAGACGGAGCCCACGGGCGGTTTGGAACGCCGCGTGGCCGACCCGGTGTCTGCGAAGAGCGCCCGGAACGACGGTGGAATGCCGCCGCGGTCGATGCGCTGGAACTGCTGGAGCTCAAGCACCTTCCCGTTCCACTCGGGGATGGTCGGGCCAGCTTGTCCCTTTACGTCGAGGCGCACGATGGGCATGCCATTGCTGTAGATCTCTGCCTTCGCGCGGGTGGCTCGCGCTTGTCGGTCAGGGTATTGATGCAGAAGAAGCTGCGGAAGTTTCTCGCGCTGGATCTCCGCGCGGATCTGTTTGGGCGACCTGTCGGGGTTGAGATAGATGGCGACGCGGCCGCCGGTGGTATCCGTAGGCTCGAATCGCATCCATTTACCTGCTGCATCACGAAGCGCTCGAGACAGGGCCATGGCCCTTGGAAGAAACAGCTTTATCACCTTTGACTTGTCATGCGAATCTGCGCGAGGGCTCATCTCCGCAGATTTCGACGGCGCGAGGGACTTGTTGGCCGAGGCGATCCACTCTTGCAGGTCATTGAGATAACCTCTGGCGAGAGGAGGCGCTGGCAGCCGATGGCGAGGATCGTCGGGTCGGGAAATATGTCCCGCTCGGCGAGCCTGGTGAGGTCCGCGATCGGGGCCTGCGCCTCGGCGAGGGCGAGGGTGTCGGGCATCTGGTCGATTTGCTCCAACATGCGCTGCTGCTCTGAAGATTGGCGGTCCTGGTCACGACGAACTCGAGTGACGATTTCGTGAAGTGTCCACTCGGTGCTCAATTTGAAACACTCGCTGCTGAAGAAACTGACGGGAACTTTCCCGCGATTCGTTTAGGAAGTTGTTGACCTGCGCCTGGGAGGTGCTGGCGGCGTACTGTGCCTGCTGCTGCATGAGCTGTTGCACCGCGGTGTCGAGCACTGGCGGAAACCTTGGGAGAGCTTGCTGAACTTGGGCAGGTGACGTGCGGCACGTGCTGCTCCATGCACACCCGCAGGGGTGCCAGGAGTAAGGTGTACTTCGTCCTGGAGGGAGTGCGCGGTTGAGCGAGCGGCTCCTTCTGCAAGCTCTTGCGATGAGAAGGTGGATAATGTTGCATGTCGGCAGCCAACTTCCATGGGTCTTGCCTTTGGAGCGAGTGCATCGTGCCAGACTCCGTCGCCTAATGGGCCAGCGGAGGCGGTGCGAGCAGCCGATCGTACCCCATACGAGAGGAGCGTGGGCAGGGCGGCCAGAAGAGCGGCCAGCCATGCCAATATCTTGACGTGCCGAGGTCCCGCGGGCTGCGGGCGGCATCGGAGCGGGGGCGATCTTCTTGGCGGTGAAAATGGTCACGATGTCCGGCTGGGTTTCGATGTTCTGCTGTCTGGCGGCGGCGGCGAGAGGCTTGTGATGACGGAAGACTGCGGGATGCCGAACGCTCGTTGCCTCTGGAGCTGTAGCTGCGATCCATGGTGGCGGGGTGAACACGTGGAACGAGAATTAATTGCGCTTCGAATCGGGCTGCTGCGCGCCAGCGACCAGGTGCAACGCGCTGCCAGAACGTGTCGGTGGCGGCTCGGGCTCGACGGAGATCTGGAAGCTCGGAGCGTGGCTCGATGAGGCGATATGGAAGTTCGGAGCGGCGCTCGACGAGACTAGAATATGGAAGGCGGCCTGCAACGCCAGAAACGAAAGCAGGAACGGACGGCAACGCGTCCTTTGGTGTGGCTGCGAGAAATCGAGGATTGGCCGCGGACTAGCGGTATGCACTTCCATGGGAGGACCCAAGGCAAAGATCTTGAGCCAAATGGCGATCGGTGAGGAGGATAATGAAGAGGAGGAGGAGGAGAAGGAGGAGGAGGAGAAGGAGGAGGAAGAGGAGGAGTCGCCGCTCCGCAAACTACTGTGCCCATCTCGTGCGCCCTGTCGCGCGAAGAGGATGAAGACGACTTGTGCTTCATGGGCAATCGGACCAGGATCCAGCCAAGATCCTCGCAGACACTCGCCAGGTGGCTTCAATACCAGAAAGGGAAGAGATGAGGACGCGACGAACAGGAGGAGCAGGAGGGGGAGGAGGAGAAGGATGAGAAGAATAAGACGAAGAAAAAGAAAACTAGTACTACTAATAATAATAAGAACAATAATAATAAGGAAGTGGACACATGAGAGAGGGGGAAGGAGGGGGAGTGTGGCGTGCTAGATTTAAAAAGAGGAGGACATGACTACCTCGGCCTCCCACATTTGTTCGCCGTAGAGCAGGAGCTGGAGCGTCACCTGTTTGGCGTCGTTAACGACGTGCTGGTTGGTGACCTCGGTCTTCCCCCGATACAAACTGCTCCCAGACCAGATCTTCTCGTCCTCCTGCTTCCCTTGCTCCCTCCTCTTTCTCGTCGTCGTCGTCGTCGTCCTCCTCCTCTTCCTCCTTCTCCTCCCCTCATCCTCGTCCTACTTTTCCAGCGGCTCACGACCCTCGGCCGATCGCCAAAGATCACTGCTCGACCGATCAAGATCCAAGAACGGCCGATCGGCCTGTACGGAGGGCGATCTGTCGCCGCGGCCTCCAACGCAACCGCGACAGGTACTCCATGGGCCCACGCCCGCACCGATGCAAGAGGGCGGCGCTCTCCTGCCGCTTTCCTGCGCCAATTTTGGGGCGAGCTCGGGCCGCCCTCCCGCTCTCTCGGCGGCGGCCTGACCGACCTCTTCCGTGACGGGCTCCCTCCGTTATGAGCTTGTTCCCCTCGAAGCTTCCTTCTGGGCCGCCCTGCCGCGTCTTGGAGCAAGGCGAGGGGGTCGTCACGGAAGGGGTCGGTCTGCCAGGGGTCGGTCGGGCCGCCTCTGGCGAAGGCCCCTGGCCTTCTTAGAAGCTCTCCGCCTTCTCAGTGCCCCACCTCTCGCACCACACCGTTTGTGGGCGCCGCAACAAAAAGCATCCCAATGCCGTGCACCCATCTCTGTGGCACCGACCACCCTCGATCGAGCCCTGGCCGACGGGCCCAGGCCCCCGACGTTGTTTTTTAGCGTAAGGTGGGCTCCCAGAGGTCTTGACCCCCCTGAGGAGCAACGATCGGTGTGGACCAGCTCAGGGGGGGAACGTCACCCTGGAATCGGCGATGCATCGCCGATAGAGCGGCGACATGCCCCCGATAGCGAACCCGCGCGTTCCTGGGCGGGGTGGGCTCTCAGCTCCCTATCGGCGATGAATGGGCGATTGAGGGTCGATGCGCTCTCCCCTGAGCCTACCCCCCCCCTAACGTTGTCCCTGACCTCCCCTGGGACTGGCTTCTTATCCCAACTGGTCCCTTGGCGGTCCTTGGTCCCAGTGGAGGCCCCAGAGACCGAAACGTGCCAAAAGCTGACATCGTTTTTTCGTGACGAAGGGGTCTGGCTTTCGGGTCATAACTCGGGTGTCGGCCGCTCGGGACGATCTGGACACCCCCGGAACGCTTTCGGCGAGGCGCAGCTGTTGAAAAGCACCCCGACGCTGGGAGAGCCCCCGGGAACCCGCGAAAACGTACAAACACTTCAAGCCTTGAACGTCTGGGGATCCAGGTCCTCTGGGGCTGGCGGCGAACAAGGGGTACGGGTCCGCCTGGACGGCGAAGCCGCTGCCCAGGCCCACCTGGTCCTGCCCTGGCTGGAAGGGCGCCAACCAATCGAAAGTCTGGGCAACCGCCTGGGTTTGTCGTCGCTGTCGGGGAATGATGAAAAGGAGCGAGGATGAGGAGTGCGGGGAAAGGGAGCGAGGAGGAAACCAGGAGAGAGCGAGGAATACCAGGAGGAAGAGGAACGATATGTAAGTAGCAGGATCAGAAGCAGGAAGCGGGGGAGGAGGAGGAGGAGGAGAAACATAACAGGAAGTGGCGTAATGGGAGGAGAGCAGGAGTATCACAGTTACCGGTGTTACTCGTACAAGTGTCAGTGGTAGTCGGAGTAGGGGAGGAAGCCAGACGATGAGAAAGAGGAGGGAGACAAGGAGGAGGGGGAGGAAGAGGAGGAGGAAACATAACAACAACATGATTTGAGACTCGCGTCGCACCTTTCCAGCATGATGCGCCATGCTCCTTTCCCAACATGTCGTTTTGTTCCATCGTTTTCCCATTTCCCCTTGCCTCTTGGAGCTTGCCTAGGAGCTGTTTTGCCGTCCCCCTGGCGGAAGCCAGGGGCGGGGGCGCCGAGGGCTTCAGGCACCGACCAAGAAATCATCATCGTGCGCAAAGAGGGCACATAACGTGGATCGGGACATCCTCCTCATGGCGGGCCTCGAAAAGCGACCACGCGCCGCCGCAGTACTCCCGCGTCTAATCACGCTTTCTGGCGGCCGCGCAAAAGGGAACCCGATGGACAAACGGGCTGAGGCCAGGAGACTGTCGGCCTCCTCGAAGACCAGAGGATGGCCGAGACGCTCACTCTTGATGGCAGCGAGACGATACGAGTGATACAGAGCGACAGCGAACATTACATCGCCTTGCAGCCCAAGCCTGGCCAAGACGGGTGACGCCAATCACATGCATACTGCGAGATTTTGCCGAACGCATCGCACCCCAAAGCGCACTGCTGCGCTCTCTGCGCCCTGCCCCCCGTGACGCACGCTCCGACGCGGAGGAGGATGCGCGGCCACGCGGGAGAGAGTAATCTATATATTATATATATATATATAATATATATATATATATATATAGAGAGAGAGAGAGAGAGAGAGAGAGAGAGAGAGAGAGAGAGAGAGAGAGAGAGAGAGAGAGAGAGAGAGAGAGAGAGAGAGAGAGAGAGAGAGAGAGAGAGAGAGAGAAAGAGAGAGAGAGAGAGAGAGAGAAAGAGAGAGAGAGAGAGGGAGAGAGAGAGAGAGAGAGAGAAAGAGAGAAACCCTCGCATCCCTGAGAGAGTCCCAGTCCACCTGCCCCGCCCCCAGAGAAGGCCGTCACCATTTCTTGGTGCGCTGCCCAAGCAGGCGGCATGCAATTCGCGTTCGAAAATGCGTTGCTATTTGGGCCTCGGGGTCGACGGCCCTGCGCAGAAACACAGCACAACTCTCGCGCCCCCAACGCGGAGCTGTCGATCCTCGGGGAACCCGTCGGCCGCCACCTCCAGATGCAACACAAACGGGGCAGACTGCCAAAAGGATTGGGCGAACAGAGGAGAGCGCCAGGGAGCCATAGGGCAGTGCTCGAACGGGCCATCGCGGAGCATGCGAAGAATGTGCCGCCGCTGCGGGATGGCGATGAGGGCAGCGCGCGTGATGGCAGCAGCGGCAGTGATGAGCAGAGAGCGGACACGACGGCAGTGGGGCTGTCCAAGAAAAAAACGATCCGAGTACCGAACAGCTGACACGGGCCACTTGAACATCTGGGCCAGAAGCTGTCCTTCAATTTTTGCCACGGGCCAGGGGGGCAGGGGCGAGTTGGGAAACGCAGGATGGCACACTAAGCGCCCGCTGTTGATGCAGCTGGAGACTGACGAACGTCGGCGATGGCCCTGGCTCCCACCGCCAACTTTTAAGAAGAGCTAGCAGGCTTGACCCAGGTTCGACCCCAGCCATAATTTCAAGTACAACGCCTCGGAAGCGACCTCAAACTCCCAGCGAGCGGCGTTGCGCTGCGTGGTGCTCTCAGTCTTGGGAGTGATGGCGCGGGCCAATGTACTCCGTGCTCGAGACCTCAGAGGCCTCGAGCAGAGCGGAGACAAAGGTTGAGATGGTAAAAGCCTCGGGCGACGACCTTGCAGCCGCGCGGGGGCTGAATCTCACCAAGAGCCGTCATCAACCACTACTGGCAAACCGACGGGGCATCTTGTGAGAAGTCGAAGGCAAGAAGCGACGCATTCCGAATGGCCTGGGCGCTGACTAGACAAGCGTGCGCATCTAACTCATAGGCATTAGCTGACAGTTACGGCCAAGTATGAAGCCTCGCTGGATGATGGAGCCAATGACTTCGACGACCTCGAACGACCCGAGCTTGGCAATCCCGGCGACCACTTCATCATGATGTGTTTCAGGCCTATGGGGCGAGCGTCGCGACCGTGTCGGACCGCGCCCCCCGTGCGCTCGTCGCCCCCGCCCAGGACCCCATGGGGGATCGAGACCTTGAGGCGCGAACAAAACGACCGGGTCACGAACGGGCCTTGGGCAAGCCAGCGGAAGACATTCAAGGGCGCCCGAGGCCCCTGACAAGAGCGCCAAGAGGCATAGGAGAGCCCGTCAAGGCCTGGCGCAGAGCAGAGGTGGGGGGTCCGCCTGAGGAATCTACGAAGAGTGGCCAAGGTCGGAGGCGGGCTCTCGCGAAAATCCTTCTCCGACGCGAACTTCGACAGGTGCCTTTTGCCCCGCGAAGGACAAGGGGCTGTGCGTCAAACATCGGGCCCCAATACTCGCGAAGAGCCGCAGTCTGGTCCTCAGGAACCCGTCCTGTTTCACCCAGCAACTGATCTCTTAGTTCAGCCAGTGACTAATTCACCCGACGACTGACTCACCCGGTTCTGATTCACCCAATGACTGGTTCGCCTGGTGCGGATGCACCTGGTGACTAATTCACCCCGTGCCTGCGCCCTGCGCATAATTCACCCGGCCACAAATTCGCCCAGTGACCAATTCGCCCGGAACTCCGGTGCCTGGCTTACCCTGCGCGATCTAACATTTAACTCCATCCTCAATTCCTCTGGCGCTTCACGCACCCTGCAACTAATTCGCCCGTCGCTGATTCACCCCGTCACATATTCATCCATTGATGAATTCGCCCAATGCATAATTCGCCCAGTACTGATTCACCCGGTGCTGATTCGCGCGGCGACTAGTTCACCCGGTACTGATTCACCCGATCCCGAATTCACCCGGTGATCCTTCCCCCAATGCTCACCCAGCGCGTGAATTCACCCGATCCTTTGTTCGCCCGGTCTTCATCCACCTGGTCCCTAATTCAACCACTCCTGGATTCACCCAGCAACTAACTCACCCAGATTTTCGCGCACCCGGCGCCTGCCTCGCCCGCCTCCCGACCCCCCGAGCCATGGGCCCCTGCAGCGGCAGCGCGCATGCTACAAAACGACGTTGTTTTGGCAACAACCCCCCGCGGTCCCAGCGCCGCGCCTGCGTGGCGAGGCGCGCGCGACGCGCAGCTCTAAGCCGTCGAACGCGCTACATAGCGGCCCTGTTTCAAACCCAGAGCGGGCGCTTCTTCTGATGACCACAACCCGAACCCTGCGAAGACAGCTCACTGAGCCAGCATCAACCTCCCCCCAATCCTCCCTTCATGTTTCTCATCCCCCGCCGCTCCCCTCGAGCTTCCCTTCGCCCCCCCCCCACTGGGCTCCGCGCCTCCGAGCCAGACGCTGACGCGTCCAATCCTCGACCCACCCGGCCCCAAACTCCTGGCGCCTGCCTCGCCCGGGGCCGACCTCCGCCGGCGCGCCGGCGCTCCGCCCGCTGGCGCCCCCGACCCGCCTCGCCCTTTAACGCGCCAAGTCCCTGAATTCACTCGATCCTTAGATGGCCCCGCGCGTCGCGAGATCGCCCGGTCATTCATTCGCCCAACCTTAACGGCTTTGTTTTTTTTTCCGCGGCGCCTGTTCAACGCGGCGACCAGGTGCATTCGTTGCGAGGTGAATCTAGGCGCCGGGCGAGTTTCGCTCGTTCCCGAGATCGCCCGGTCATTCATTCGCCCAACCTTAACTCGCCCGGCCCTTGACTCGCCCGGCGCCTGGCTCACCCGGCCCGCCGCTCACCCGGCGCCCCCCGGCGCCTGCGCCACCCGGCCCCGGGCCCACCCAGTGAAGCGCCCAAGCGGCGGCAGCGGGCATGCGACAAAACGGCGCTTCTCGTTTGCAGCGCCCCCACCCGCGACGCGCTACAGAACGGCGCAGTTCTGGTTTTGCAGCGGCCCTCCGCGGCCTCGGGCCGCGCGTCAGCGACGGCGCCCGGGTGGCGCGCCGCCGCGAGCCCCCGGCGCGCCATCGAAGGGCGCCGTTTTCAAGCCAGCCCTGGACGCCGCTACAAACAATTCAACGGGCCCCCCGAGCCTGGACCCCAAGGCGGGCGCCCTTGCTGATAACTGGCGTTCGGTTGGCCTCGGCGCCGATAGCTTCCCCGATCTCTCCGCCGCGTTCGGCTCGCCTCAGGCGGGGCTCGGGGCCGCGGGGAGACCGCTGCAAAACCGTTTCGCAGCGCGCCGCGGGGTGGGTGGGGTGGGGGGGGGCGCTGCAAACAAAAAGCGCCGTTTGGTCGCGTGCCCGCTGCCGCCGCTCGGGCGCTTCGCTGGGCGAGTCGGGGGCCGGGTGGCGCAGGCGCTGGGGGGCGCCGGGTGAGCGGTGGGTCGGGTGAGCCAGGCGCCGGGCGAATCACGGGCCGGGCGAGTTAAGGTTGGGCGAATGAATGGCCGGGTGATCTCGGGAGCGAGCGAAACTCGCCCGGCGCCTAGATTCACCCCGCAACGAATGCACCTGGTCGCCGCGTTGAACAGGCGCCGCGACAAAAAAAAACAAGGCGCGAAGGCGAAATCAGAAGACGCGCTACGCAATGGCGTTGATTTTCGCGAGGCCGCCCCAGGCAGAACGAAGGCGCCCGGCCCCGCGCGGCCCCCGCGAACGTAAACCAGATGCGAGGTAAAACAGTCGACCTCTTGATCGGCAATGCTGAAATCTCCGTTCATGACCAGGCTGGACTTTATGGGGTCTTTCCTAACCAAGGCTGCTGTCGGCGAAAGAGCGTCGAATGCGCGCGAATTCAGAAGACGAAATATCGTGATTGTGGGCATTCCAATGGAACCGCTCTCGCGGTGCTGACGCTGAAGGCAGCGAGCCCTGCCCGCGACGATCTCCAGCAGCGAAATGCGGGCGTGCTCCAAAACCTGCGTGGGAACGATGGCGCAGACACCTCCGCGCTCGCCGGGCGACGAGGAGACCTGGGCATCCCCGCGAACGCGCGCGAGGAGCTTAGCAACCGCGTCGCCAGGACCGTGTACTTCGCGAAGAGCTGTGATAGAGACAGGGGCGAGGAGCGACTTGATCACTTCAGCCTTGCTAGCGAGAGCGGAGGAATTGGAGTGGGGCAGGGCACCGCACTTCCAACTGCTAAAGGTCATCTGCTCACCCGAGAAGGACGCTCTGCCCGCTCCGCCCGACCTGCCGCGGCTGGAGGGCGGCCGCGGCGACGCGCTCGAGCTCGACCCGCGAGAGCCCCAAATCAATGAGAGCACCGAGATTCCACTGAACATGAGTCGGCTCCGAGACATCGACCACCACCCTCGCGAACACCTCCCATATTGATACGGCCCCCCAGAAACTCTTGCACCTTTTCCCGCAAGCACATGGTAGCGGGCTCCCGAGCAATCTCGAATCTGTCACGGTCGACACTGGCATGACATGGCGCGTGTCTGCCACCAGGCATAGGTGCACTGAAGGTGCGCCACGCCACTTGAGCGTCTACCATGAGACCGGCGCTCGCGCGAGATGCAAGTGCCGGGGATGCCTTGGGAGCGCACGATGAAGCGCTTGCCGAGCTCGTCGCCCTCAACCTTGCAGTCCGTGCCCTGGGCATAGTGCGCTGCGGCCACCCCGTCGCCGAACGCCTCGGCAACAAGGTTGCGGCCGACATCCTCGCGGCAGTGACAGCGAGGATGCCTGGATCAGTGGCCCGCTGCCAGCCAGACGTCCTGTCGGTGGGCTCCCTGGGAGCAGCCTGAACCAAGTGCAGTTCCTTTTCCAACCTCTCGGACCCCTCCACGAGCATGCGATGCGCCTGCTCTGAAAGGCCCCCCCGGACTCGATCTGCTGCAACCGCGCCTCATGTGCCTGGTAGCGTTGCTGCGTGGACTTGTCGAGCGCCGCAACCAGGGGCTGGACCGTGCTGTTGAGGGTCTTGGGGAGGTGGACAAAAACCATGTTGGCGATCGTTTCCGCCGAAGCCTTCGACAACTCCGTGATGACATCCTTCCTGAACTGTTCCAACGTATCAGACATCGCCACAGGAATCTCTGTAGTGCCAGCCCGCTCGCGAAGGTGCTGCGCCCAAGGGTCCCGCCCCTGCTGCCACGGCGTGCCAGAGACGGAGATGCCATGCACATCGGTAGATGTTGGAGGCCCGCCATCCGGTGTGGCAGAGCCCGTACCTTTAGCAGCTGCACTGGCGCGTTGGGCCTCATGGTACTGGCGGATCTGTTCCTACTGACTGGCCGGACTCCACGAACTTGTCATCGAAGAGAGCTGCCGCGGCGGAGGCGTGTCGGTCACGATCCGAACCCTTCCCCAGGCTTCTGAACGCCGAAAACCACTTGCTGCAGAGCTGGAAGGAGGATGTCGAGGAAGACTGCGACGACGCGACTTCCTCCCTCGCGAGGAACTCCTCGAATACATGGGCGATATTAGATACTCCCTGTCGTCCTTGCGCCTGGGTTTGCCCTCGCGCTTCTTAGACTTGCGGCCACCTGCCATGCGAGATGTGTGAGCGCTGCCCCCCACACAGGAACTTGAAACGCCTCAGTTTAACACGCGTGGGCCGGCGCAGGTGTCGTGTCAGCCGAAAAAGGAAACGGCGGTTTAGCCTCGGATCAGAGGTGTCCTCCCTCTGCCCGAAGGACACCATCATCTTGAACCAAAACGGCTTGAGCCAAAATGGCTACGGAACAAAGAGGAGGAGGAGGAGGAGGAGGAGGAGGAGGAGGAGGAGGAGGAGGAGGAGGAGGAGGAGAAGGAGGAGGAGGAGGAAGAGGGGGAGGAGGAGAGGAGGAGGAAGGAGAGGAGGAGGAGGAGGAGGAGGAGGAGGAGGAGGAGGTGGAGGCCGCCTGGATGCGGACAATGCTCTGGCGCAAGTGGTCAAAGTCGGCAAGTGAGGCCGAGGCGCCCCCCGCCGCGCCCTTCAGCCGCGAGGCGGCGACGAGCGCAGTGCAATGCAGGGCCACCAAGGCAGCGGCGAGGGCGGCTCCAGGGCCTTAAAAAGCATCGGATCCACGGCCCGATCCTGAATCTGATCTTGGCTCGGAGGACACCAACTGACCTTGAGTGTTGCTTCGGGGGGGCGATCAACGGGGGGACGAGGAAAGGTACACACCTTGCGTGCCTTCGGGGGCCCAGGGGGCCCCTTCCTTTAGGGCCCCTTCCCTGCAGCCCTCGATCCCCGACTGATCGCACCCCCTTTACTAAACGCCCGATGACCTCCGCATCGATCTTGACCGGGCCGATCCTGGGCTCAGAATCGGTGTCCTCGTCTCCCCGGCCAAGCCGGGACAGCGTACACCCGCCTGATGCAGATATTTGCGCCTGGTGGGTTTCCCAGCGTGGACCGCTCTCCCGATCGATACCCCGATCGACCTGCCCGATCCAGATCGACAGGCGGACGTGCTGGATCGTTGGCCCGACCAGGCCCCGATCGACGGATCAGGCTGTCCTATGCCCAGGTCGCAGCTTCATCAGCAGATTGTGGGGGCAGGTCGATGACCTAGAAAAGCTGGAGCCCCGAAGCCCAACAGAGAGGCCCAGACTTGAGCAAGAATGGCGCCGTCCCGTCGTCGCTGTCCTGCTTGTGCTCATCCTTTTTCTTCCTCCTCCTCCTCCTCCTCCCCTTCATCCTTCCGCTTCCCTCCTCCTCTTTCTCCATCTCCTTTACTTGTGACGAATTGGCATTCCCAGACGTGTCGCTAGGGCAGGCCGGTCGTTTCGCCTGAGACCAGTGTTTCGCCGCGACTTGAATTCTGTAGCAGCTTCAAGGATGGAGAGGGGGGGTCAAAATGTAGCTGTCGCCCTAACGCCACGCACATTCGTCTTGGACATTTCGAACAGGTTTCAAGGATGGATCGCGGGACCTTTTTCAAAACGTGTCTATCACTTTCAGCGTCGCGCATATTTGTCTTACACGCTTGCAGCAGCTTCAAGGATGGAAGGTGGCTGCTTTTCGAACTGTGGCTCTCGTCCAAGCGCCGCGCACAATCGTCTTGAACATACGACACAGTTTCGAGAGTGGAGAAGGGGCGTCTTCAACATGTGCCTCTCGCCTTAGCGCCGCGCACATTCGTCTTACAACTTTGCAATGTGTTCTCAAGGATGGAGCGGGCCGATTTTCAAACCGTGGCTCTTTCCTTAGCGCCGCGAGCATTCCTCTTGTAAGCCTGCATCTGCGTCAAAAATGTAAAAAGTGCATCGTTTTCCAAATAGCGCTCTCGCAATAGCGCCGCTCTTATTTCTGCTAACATGTTACAATTGTTTCGCGGATGGACGGCGGTTTGTTTTCAAAGTGGGGCCCTCGCAGTAGCGCCGCGCACACCCGTCTCAAACTATTGCAACATACTCAAGACTTGAACTTTGGTCGTTCTCAAAATGGGAATCTCGCCTCGGCGCCATGCGCATTCGTTCTTAAAATACGCCGACCTCTCGGCGTGTGAGATACGCGGTCGTCGTCGGTCCCAAAGAAATTGAGGAACAAGGAAAAAGAAGGTGCGGGGGGGGGGGGCGTGGAGGAGGGGGGGGGTCCCCGGTCAGAATGTCGCCCCACATCAGGGTCCCGGCTGGTCCCGGGGGGGGTCGCCAGCGGGGATCCGTGGGGGAGGTCCCGGCTGTGGTGGGGGGTGTGATCCCCGGTCAGAATGCCCCGCCCCCCCCCCTGGGGTCCTGGCGGGGGGTCGCTGCGTTCGCATGCGGTTCCACCCCCACTTCGGCACACCCCTCACACGCTTCGTGGCCCGATAGGGAGCTCCACCGAAGGCCCCAATGGCTGCGTTCGCATGCGGTTCCGCTCCTATTTCGGCACGCCCCTCACACGCTTCGTAGCCCCATAGGGAGCTCCACCGAAGGCTCCAGTGGCTGCGTTCGCATGCGGTTCCGCCCCCATTTCGGCACACCCCTCACACGTTTCGTGGCCCCATAGGGAACTCCACCGAAAACCCAAGTGGCTGCGTTCGCATGCGATTCCGCCCCTATTTCGGCACGGCCCTCACACGTTTCGTGGCCTCATATGGAGCTCCACCGAAGGCCCCCGTGGCTACTTTCGCATGCGGTTCCACCCCCATTTCGACACATCTCTCGTATGTTTTGTGGCACCATATGGAGCTCCACCGAAGGCCCCAGTGGCTGCGCTCGCATGCGGTTCCGCCCCCATTTCGGCACACCCTTCACACGTTTCGTGGCCCCACGGGGAGCTCCACCGAAGGCCCCAATGGCTGCGTTCGCATGCGGTTCCGCTCCTATTCCGGCACGCCCCTCACACGCTTCGTGGCCCCATAGGGAGCTCCACCGAAGGCCCCAGTGGCTGCGTTCGCATGCTGTTCCAACCCTATTTCGTGACACCCCTCACACGTTTCGTTGCACCATATGGAGCTCCACCGAAGGCCCCAATGGCTGCGTTCGCATGCGGGTCCGCCCCAATTTCGGCACACCCCTCACACGTTTCGTGGCCCCATAGGGAACTCCACCGAAGGCCCTCGTGGATGCGTTCGTATGCGGCACCCCCTGTTTCGGCACACCCCGCACACGCTTCGTGGCCCCATGAGGAGCTCCACCGAAGGCCCCAGTACATGCGATGGCGCTTCGTGGGGCCGATTCTGGAGCCATCCATAGAAACCCTATGGCATTCCACGGGCTCCTCAGCACTCCCTAAGGAATCTTAAGGGACCGACCCAGACGCGGAGGCCGTTCGGGCGACGCCCAAAAGGTGGACTCACAGAGAATCTCATACGAAAAAGCGCCCGGGTCCTGGAGGCCGTTTGGGGGGCCGCATAAGAATCCTAGAATTATGTCGGCAAATCGTCCTAGAGGGCCACATCAGGGACACGTTGTTTTTTTCCCCGCCAGGCTTCCGCAGACGCATCCGCAGGCCCGCCCGACAGCGCCTGCAGAGCATCCGCAGAGCATCCGCAGGAGCTATGTCAGGGTTCATGTTTTTTCCTCGAACCCATTTTTGTCATATGCATGTTTTCCTTATCCGCGTCGTTTTTTTTTTTTTTTTTTTTTTTTTTTTTTTTTTTTTTTTTTTTTTTTTTTTTTTTTTTTTTTTTTTTTTTTTTTATTTATCTCCGTGTGCTTGGGCGCACCATAGCGAGCGGTTCGCGCGCCAACACCATAGTTTCATTCATGCGCACGCACACCCGACATGAAATCAATACACAGGCCGAATGTACCACGGCACGCCGCGCAATCTTAAGCTCCGCTACCAAGAAGGCTGCTTAGCAAGATGCAGCCGTTGCTGGCGCAACAAATCATGGGGGGGGGGTCGTACTAAGTTCGGCAACCACTATAACGGGCAACTATACCCGAGTTGTTCGCGCCATGCGACGCATCCGTGATTCTATCCACAAATGACGACCTCCTCCTCCTCCTCCTGCTCATTCTCCTTCTCCTCCTCCCCCCGTCCCCTTTCTTCCTCCTCCTCGCCATCCTCCAACACATCCTACCCATCCTCCTCCTTATCCCCTTTTCTTCCTCCTCCTTCTCCTCCTCCCCCTCTTCATCCTTCTCCTCCTCCTCCACCTCCTTATCATCCCCCCCCCATCATGCCCTCTGGGTTAGGGGCCTTTAGGGTTTGGGGTCACAGATATGTTGGTGTCAGGTTCGTATATCTTGGGCCCTTAGGGTTAGGAGTTGTCTGGAGGTTAATGTTAGAATACTTTGGGTTAGGGGTCATCTTAAGGTGAGGGGTTCGGGGCCACCGCAGGTTAGAGGTTATATGATGGTTAGGGTTAAGGGTTATCTCAGGGTTAGGTCTATGTGCGATCTTAGAGGTAGTTTTAACGTTAGGTCTAGCGGCTATCTGGTAATTGGGGTGGGGGTTAGAGCTAGGCTCAACATATCTTGGAGCCCTCCTGTTCCGCCCTCCATGCGCCTCCACATTACTCACCTCGTCCTCGCCTTTCGCCTCCTCCTTGTCCTACCGCATCCTCGCACCCATCGCGGCTAGCCAACTTGTCCACTCCCAGGGCTTATCATCCACCCGTCTTCGCATTCATCCATTCCCCCTCGTCCTACCGCCCCCCCGCGCCGCCGCCCCCCCTTTTTTCCTGGTGGTTTCCCTTCCCATGCGTTTCCTCCCGCCTGCCGTCTACCTCCCTACCCCACCCTGTCCCCCCCCCCTCCTCTTCCCTCCATGCCTCATCCTCCCTCGGGCGGCTGGCGGGCTGTCCTGGGAAGAGACCGAAGCTGATGACAGGCGGGCGCCGCCCCCGTCCCGAGGACGACGACGACGATCGACGACCGACGGTCGACGATCGCCGATCGCCGACGACGACGACGACGATCGGCGATCGACGATCGACGACGACTACGAAAACGACGACGACGACGACGAGGACGAGGGCGACGACGACGACGACGACGACGGCGACGACGACGACGACGACGACAACGGCGATGACGGACGACGACGACGACGACGACGACGACAGGGGTGATGACGACGACGACGACGACGACGAGTCCCTGAGCATTGTGTGTTTCCATTTCATTTTGACCAAACCAGGTCGCAGCTTTCCCAGCTGTCGGCCTTGCTGCAGCTTGGGCGCCTTCAGTGCGCGCTCCACGAGTGCCGACGGCATCTTGTCCCACGTCGCACCCTCCTTGTTCGCGAGCCTCTTGAGAGCGAACACATTTCGCTTGAGCTTCTCTTTGCTGTACTTGGCGTTGAACAGCGCGGCCGCCATGCCCTCGATGTGGCTCTGCGCCAGAGCCTTCGTCGCGTCGCTCGCCGCCTTGGTGGAGTCGGGGCGCGGCGCGCGAGTGAACACGCTGGCCACCTCCGTGTACGAGTCCAGCAGCTCCTGGATCTTGGCCTTCTCGATGTTGTAGCTGTCCGACGCGTGCTTGCACGCGGTCTCCTTCGCCATGGGCAGCACCTCGCTGAGGTCGTTCGCGTCGTCCGCTCCCTCCCACCGCGATTCGCCGTCAGCGCCGCCCTTGGCCCACTTCGCAGCGAGGTTCACCCTGTTGTCGAGCCTGGCCTTGCATATCCCCATCGCCTGGGCTCCGGCGGTCTGGATGCAGTTCTTCGTGGTCGCGTGGGCAGCGACCAGGACCTGCTTCCGGTCGCACTCGGGGATGCTTTTGCATGGTCTGGTCGAGCGCGATCTCTTTCAGGATGATGGCCTTCGTACTTTTCATGGGCTCCTCGTCCGTCACTCCAGAGCCGTCCTCGCTGTCGCTGGTCATCGAGACGTGCGCTGCAATGCTGAGCTTCGCCTCGCCTGCAGCGTGGATTGAAGATGTCGCTGCTGCCGTCGCCCGTCACCGCTGCGATGTCTTTCATGACGCCTGCAATCTCGCCATTGTTCGCGTTCACCGCGTCCTTGATAGCGCCCCACACGCCGCTGCAGAAGGGCATGGCCGCTGCCTTGCCCTCGACATCGAGCGAGCTCTCGGTGAGGTTGTGCAGCGCGACGTTGACGGCGCGAACTTGCTCAATGTCGATGTTGCCCGCTTCGTCCTTGGCGCTGCCCGCCATCATCTCCTTCAGCCCGCTCATGATCTCCTTCGCTCCTGCCTTCTCGATCACGGCGCCGATGTGTCCCCTCGCGCTGAT